ATTCTGAAAGCCCAAGACAAAGACAATTTTTATTTTTATTTTTTCAAACACATTTTTGCTCCGGACAGCGCTTCATCTTCTCTGGCGTTGCAGAAGTCTCCGTAAAAGATACAACTCCACCACAAAAGGTAGATCTACTCGAAGGAAATTACAGAAGCCTTTTTAAAAATCTGTTAAATTGGTCTTACATCAAAAAATGTCAATGTGGTTGGCTGCTGGCTCTTTTATGATTCCTGTTTAAATTGTAAATATATATGCGCATTTTTATATAAGCCGATCGCCGCCGTTTCATAAAGCTTTTTCGGCGTGAGAAGAATATAAAAGTAGATAGAAGCCGTTTTTCAAGGTTTTTTTGGCAGAAGAGAATTTAAAAACGATTGTTAGTATGCGCTATTTTTAGAGATTTTTTCAGCGTCAGAAGAAACAAAAAACGTGTTAATTCAAAGAACTGGTTATTTTTGATAAGTAGTCAAAGTAATTAGCGTAAGAAATTCAATAATTACATTTATATGTGTGTACATAAAAAGTGGTCAGAATAGTAGGTTTAAGTAGTAAAAAATGTTTGTATACTTATTTCTTGGTATAATATTTGTACATTTTTCAAGTTCAGAATCATTATTGGTTGAAGAAAATATCCATGTGACATACAACAAGAAGGAGAACACAATTACTTGCCACTGTGAAGTCGACGAAGGCTTAATAACGCAAATAAACATAGTATTCCAACCATGCAATGAGGGTCAATTTATAAAAAGTATTCCCATCAATAAATACGAACATGGTCAAGAAACAAATCAAATAATAGCAAACTATGATTACGACCATGGAATCCATTCAAATATATGCAAAACTACAAGTCTAATTTCAGATCCAAAAACTAACAATAAAGACGTCCTATTTGAATGTGAATGGCAGGAACAGCCTCTACAATCAAATGTTTATTGTATCTGTATTTCATTCCCAAATGGTACAACGCAAACTAATCTTACACACAATTGCGAAACAGGCATGCCCTATAGTGTCGAATCTAGAGTTATTTCTGAAACTAAGAATGAAACCAAAACCTCGGATGCAATCTTTGAATTTGTAGAGACTATTATTAACAATAATGACAAAATATTAGCAGAAGAAAAAATAGAAATATCTCCCTTTCAATCGATAAATCCTCCTATATTTTATTTACCCACACCTGCTAAACTAGAAGCCCCTCAATCCGTTCAAAACACAGAGCCTGTAGACATAATAATTAACTCTACTGATAAGCCCTGTCAAAACCCGATAACAGCAGACGTTCAGGAGGTTACATTAGGAAGCCGAGTAGAATTGAATAGCACACATAGCGCCTCTGTCTTTCAAACATTAACAGATTTACAGAAAGACTATGACAAGTTGAGAATAATGCTCGAGAATAGCGTAGGGTCCTTCTCAGTAATGTTTCTATCTGTCTTCATGGCTTTCGGCAGCATGTTATTTCTGGTCATCCTGCTATATCTATTAATCCCGTGTGTTATCCAATTTTCTCAGAATAAAATTACAAAGATAATGTTGTTACACAGCAGTGTGCCCTCTGGCCAAGACAGTTCACAAGAGGAAGATGAAGGAGAAGGACAATTTGAGCTATATGATCTCTAACCTTAAAAACAGCCACAATTAGAATGCATTGATTATCATTAGAGAAACAGATAAGAATAAGCAAAAGCTTTATAAAGAGTTCTCACCGCTTTTAGATCCCTTTAAGACCGCGTTCCCTGTTTACAGATGAAGCAGGCAAGCAGCGGTAAAAGTTAACCATTAACCATTAACCAAATAAAGTGAAGCCCTGTGTGTTATCTTTGTTTTCCGATAAGCATGCAGCAGCAATAAAATTTAACCATGAACCAAATAAGTAAAAGTCCTGTGTGTTATCTTTGTTAGGATAGAAGAAATGTCATTGTTAAAAATAATACAACTATAAGGTTTTAATAATCACTGCAATTCTATTATTGAACATACATTAATTACAACTGTATTCTGTGTCCAGCTTTCTAAAAATAATTACACTATACAAGGGATAAAAGTTGCACGTAAAAAAGACAGCATTTTGTTAATGATTACTTTGTTTGTCATGGAGGGTAATATATAGCAGAAAGCGTTTGTCTATTTGAATAATTGTGATTACAAGTGAAAGACTTGTCAGCATTTATAAAAATAGTCGTATAATGTATAATAAGTAGGTTTGCAGTGAAATAATATTATTGGCATAGCTTACCTGGTTATTTTTCTGGTATAGTGTTATTTTTATGCAAATAAATGTTTTAAAGTTAAATAAAGGCTAGTAAAGTGAGTTGGCTAATCCAAATATATTGGCAGCATCCAATGATATATTAGTTTAAACAGCAAATAAAGCTAAAAATAGATGTTTAATATTATAAGAAATATCACCTTTTTAACTTTCATGTTATAAAAATAAATATTGTTAGTATTTCAATATTCTAGTATGTTGTACAAATGTTAAACCATTACAACTATTAAAATATATACAAAATGTTTTACTTAATGATTTTAAAATGATTAAGGCTATGCATGTATATACTGTATACTAGACAATAAAATACTCTGAGGGAAAAATTATATATATGTATTAGGATTGGCACCTAAACTTAAACTAAAAATAAAACTTTTAATTTTCAGTGTTCTATTTATATTAAAAATTTGAATATTTATTGTAACCAATAAATGCTTGCAAAATCCCCCAGGGCATATAAAAGTTATAGCAGCTATTTTATTGTTCATCACAGGGCGGTGTATGCAGATTTCAAATCTACCTATTTTATCTTTAATAATCTATGTCTTGGATAAAGCAATTAACTCATATTTACCTTTAATTAAACAAAAATAAATAAATAGTTTTAGAAGAGTGTCTCTGCAATCAAAATAAATCATGAAAGATGTATTTTATTTATTTCCATATTTCAAAAGGTTTCTCCTTGACAATGTATAGTGGACAGTAATCATATGCTGTTTTCATGTTTTATAAACAAGTGTATAATAACTGACAGTTGTATACCTATACGCCCTGGCTTGTTGTAAAATAAGATCATTACTGTCTATGATAGAAGTGAATAGTTAACATTTGCAGCTAGTATACAGATATCATGCCAGCTCAATATTAAAATGATAAGGGTTATCTAATTGGTTGTTCGAATATCATTATTTTTATGATTACTTTTAAAACATCAAATTTCGTTTTCTAAAACTCGATATATGCACAGTATAATAATTAGATAAATAAATAAAGCATATAAATGTTTAGTGATTAAAAAGTTTGAATGCGCAAGTTGATCTGTTGAACATTTTTCTTGTGTTTTAGAGAAATACTAGGAGCGCGGTGGGAGGTTCAGGACCAAAAACTAGTGTCTCAACGCAGACGGGGAGAAAAATAGGAGAGATCTGATCGGGTCAATCGCATAGGCCGTAAAGGAGGAATCTGAAACAGCCATCTTCAAAACCACTACGAAACAGCCCATTTGATTTCACATCCAGTACATGCTAAGGTAAATCTTCAAATTTTTGCAAAACAATTCAATATAGTCTTCATTTTTTACACTATTCAAATTTTTGCACTCATAATTAAGACACTGTGCTCTGGGAAATCTAATTGAATGCATGGGTAGTACGGGGTAGGGGTAACAGTCTCCCTCAACTACCCTAGGAAACTCATTTATGCGATTAGATTGCTGGAAGTGCATTTAGAAATAAATAAGAACATAAACAATAGGCACATACCAATAATGTCCCAATTTATCACACTAAAACAAGTGGAGGAGTTTTGGAGCAACAAGGTTCGAGAAGATGAAGTCGAACCAAAATTAGCACAAGCTAAGGTGTCCATCATACAAGAATTGCTTAAAAAATACATCTCGAAGCAAATAATTGATGGAGGCAAAGAGGCACTTGCACCCACAGAAGAACAATGGAAGAAGATTCTAGACTACCACAAAGGAAAAATTTTATATTATCAAACACATCCTAATTTAGCTCCTCTTGGAAAGAAGAACAACAATGCTAAAATTTGAGAACATGAGAACAAAAGTGCACTGGCTAAGAAAATGTGCCGATGGGCAAAGGAGATGAAAAAATCAAAGAATCTTTCCTCAGAGTTGAGGGACCTGTCTTCAATTCTTGTGATTAAACCAACAGATAAGAAAGTGACATTTCCTGAGAGAATCCACAGAGACTCCACTGAGGGCGTCTACCCTGTGTTGAAGGACAAGGAAAAGCACAGGTATAACACACGGTCTCAGACTGAACACCATCGAGATGCCAGTGGCAGTGACTCTGAGGAAGAAGAAAAATCAAAGGAGAGGCCGTCGATCACACCCGAAGGAAGGAGAGAGCTGACCACTCACATGAGAAAAAGAAATAAATCACAAAACCTTGAAGATGTTCCCCTTTTGCAGGGTACTTTGTATTATCCGTCATCCACTCAAGACTTAATCTCATTCAATGATGATTCACGTTTGACTAAAGACCCCCCTCCTTATCATCCTACACCCAGCACAGTTATCTCTTCTAAAGGAACAACCCTAACGCAGATGACCCACAAGGTGATGGGAGGAGCACTATCCTTGACACCAGTTGGCCCACCCTCCAACACAGAGAGGAGGCTCCAGGATATTCAAAACCAGGTGACTGCTCTAACTTCTATTGTAGAGACTTCAAGAGAGTTTGGAGGGACCGATTGTCTGAGAAGTCAAGGACCAACCACAGAAGAAAGGGGTGACGTAGCCAGAGAAACAAGAAGGCATATGCAAGTTAAAGAGCCTTTTGAGGTAACAGGATCTTTCACAGGAATCATTGATGCTGATGAATTCAATGAGGCTTACATAAATGGCACTGTTGACCCCATGTATGGAGAAAAACAAAAAACAAGTCATTCCGCATCTATCTATCCACTGAGGACAAATGAAAATCAACAGATGATTTATCAACCATTCTCTCTGAAAGACTGGAGTTCTCTGATGCTCACCCTACCGAAGCTGACGAAGGGTGGAGTGCCCTGGATGAGGGCCCTGATGAAACAGACTGCTGGTGATAAACTATGCTGGGGAGATATACATGCCGCCCTGATCAAAGCCGCAGATGAAACAGTCGCAGAAAGAATTGAAGCTGCAGTTGGAAGGAAGATCAGAATACCACTACGGAAGACTGCTGCCATTCAGATGTTCCGTGAAGCATTGGAGGAAGAACTGAAGACGAGATATCCATGCACTCTGACGGATGAACTCATGTCCCTGCAGATGAAAAATGATGAAGACTACTACAGCTACAAACAACGAGCTAAAACTCTATATCATGATGCTACAGGTGAGCCAATTCAAACAGGCACCGGAATGACAGTCATGTTTTACTCAGCCTTGGTGAAAGGTATGCCTAAACCCATACAAGACACCCTCAGTGAAGTGATGGGATTGTACACTAAGACTGAAGAAGACTTTGATGCACATTGCAATCATCATGTGACCAAGTGGATTAATAACAAGAAGGAAACAGACTCCAAGAAGCAGGAACTTGAGCTGACCACTATGAAGTTGCAACTACATAAACTCCAAGAAGAGGCCAAGGACAAGAAGAAGGAGAAAACCTCTCGACTGATGACTGTACAACAAGACTCTGCTGATGGGGATGCACCAGTGACCACCAATCAATTGCTGACCGCAATAAAGACGGTGATGCAACCACAGCAACAACCACCACAAACATTTTCGCCAACAGCAATATACGCTCGCAGTTTCTCTAAGTTCAGAGGAAGAGGAAGAGGCTATAATGGTCCAAGGCCGAGATTTATAAAGGATAAAGGATTCGGTGCATGTTTCACATGTGGAGGAAGAGGCCACTGGAGCAGAGATTGTGCAACACAGCCACAAGGACAACCACAAGGCTTTGACCCACAACAACGATTCATCCAATCAACAAACCAACCACCTATGATGCAACCCATGATGCACCCACAGACGGCTGCACCTAGACTCCCACCAAATGGCCCAAGAGTAATGAACATCGGATCCAACTACCATGATGGAAGAGATGTCCAATGTTTTGATGGGTATAATGAATACTAGAGAGGCCCACAGTCAGACCAATCGCTGAAACCATGGAAAAGCGAGCCAATGGTGGTCTTGAAGATAAATGGACAGAAGATTAAGTTTCTAGTGGACTCAGGAGCAACAGTGTCCTGTATTCGTCAGAAATTTCCATTGACATCCAAAACTATGTCCATATCCGGCTGTGTGGGATCACCTGAAACAAAGATTTTTACTGAACCATTGGCAGTAACATTGAATAACCAGACAGTAAAACATGAATTTCTTTTCTTACCACAAAGCGACGTCTCTATATGTGGAAGAGAACTGATGTGCAAACTTTCACTGTCATTGATATTTTGCCCAGATGGCCATAAAGTTCTCAACAAACAAGAAACCATGATGATGCTGAGAAAAATAAAGATGAAAGATTCTGTCCAGATCTTATATCTCTCTCCAGACATTGTGCAAGATTGTAAGATAAAGACAACGATATATTGGACAGAAATTCTCACAGATCCAGAGAAAGGAAACACAGCTTCAGCATTTTGGCAAAACTACAAATTATGGGCCAAATCATTATATCCACTCAGAGAGCCTCTTGACCCTCTACATGTAACTCTCCGATACATCACACTGGAAGACGACACTTATGACGAACTCTGGCAACAGGTGAATGGCCAAACATTCCAGGTGAAATACTCCTGTATATATCTTGGCCCTCAAGGAATGGCTATTGCAGCAATTCTACCAGAAGAACTACGACCTTACTATATGGATGAAGGAGAGAGTTCACCTCATGTAACACTGGCCATATCAAAGCACCACACGCAGAAGCAACTTGGCCCAATGATAAGATTTGCCTCTACTCTGCAATATGAACGCACTGAAAGAGATGGAGGTTTTTATAACTCACAAAATCAAATGTTCAAGATAATTCTACCCCAAGGCTCTGAAGACACAACAAGAACTTCAAAGCAGTCCAAACATCGAGTCTTTGATGATCATCCTGTCATGGTGTAGATTTTATTTTGGACTTTAGCTTTATTTTGATATCTGTTCTTTGTGCTTTGGTTTTAAGTTTGACTTTGACGTCCTGTTTCCCCTGTCTTGATTGTCTACCCCGCCCTAATGTGTTTCACCTGTGTCTCTGTCTATTATTACCCTGTGCTCCTCTCCGCTTGTTGCTGGTCCATTGTATTGTCAACTTCTGTTCTGTCCTGTTCCTGGTTCTGTGTTTTGGATTTTGAGTTATGTTTTCACCTGGACTTTTATTTTATTAAATCATTCTTTTGCATTCCTGCATTTGAGTCCTCCATCATCTCACCACGTGACAGAATGATGGAACCACACAAGGCCCAAGCAGACTGCTTTATTTTTGTTTTTTATTTTCTGTCATCTCTGGCCTTTGTCCCCGACTGGTCTCAAGAGTTGCTGCAGGAGCTGGACGCATCCCTGTCTGTCTGTGTCCTGGACCACTGCAGGACACTTTGCTCCGTCCTGGGTGGTTGCAGGCTTTCGTCCCTGACTTGGCTCCGCTGGATATTGTTCTCCATCCAGGGGGCCTTCCGTACCCGTTTTGCTCCAGTCCCGGCTCAAGTTCCTGCTCCAGCTCTGAGGCTTCACGTCCCGGCCCCGGCTTCACGTCCCGGCCCCGGCTTCACGTCCCGGCCCCGGCTTCACGTCCCGGCCCCGGCTTCACGTCCCGGCCCCGGCTTCACGTCCCGGCCCCGGCTTCACGCCCCGGCTTCACGTCCCGGCCCCGGCTTCACGTCCCGGCCCCGGCTTCACGCCCCGGCTTCACGTCCCGGCCCCGGCTTCACGTCCCGGCCCCGGCTTCACGTCCCGGCCCCGGCTTCACGTCCCGGCCCCGGCTTCACGTCCCGGCCCCGCTTCACGTCCCGGCCCCGGCTTCACGTGCCGGTTACACGCCCCGGTCCTTCCTACGGTCCCCTTCCTTCCTCCCTCCCTGGTTTTGTTTTTGGGACGTCTGGGATCCGTCCCTTGAGGAGAGGGTACTGTCATGGTTTAAGTTTATTTCCTGTTTTATTTTGAAATGTGTTATCCCTGTGTCTTCTTTGGTTGTACTTCCTGTTGTCTGATTACCTGCCCTGCCCTTATCTGTCTCACCTGTGTCTCGTTAGTCTTGTATTTAGCCCTGTGTGTTCCTTCACTCCCTGTTCCGTCATTGTCATTCCTCGTCTGTTTTAGTTCGGTCCTCGTTCCCTGTGTTTTTGGAAGTTTTGGTGTTTGCTTTTTATTAAATCCATTATTTGTTGCAGTTTTGCATTTTGGGTCTCATTTAATTTCACCCTCGTGACAGAATGGACCAGCCACATTCGGACTCTGCGGAATGCTTTATTTTTTTCTACCCACACCTGCTCCCAGTTTGCCACCAGGTTTCTATTTGTTTTTTTTTCTCTGCCATCTCCACTGCCTGCCTCTACCTGCTACCTCGAGCCACCGCCAGGCAAGAATTCCGTCTGGGGTGGTTTTTTGTCCATGCACCACCGCCGGGCATTGATCTCCGTCCGGGGTGGTCCCGTTTCCTCCCCCTGTCCCACGAGAGAGGTACCCAGTGGAGCCCTGGCGTGATTGTTCCCGTCTGCCTGGATTTCCCCACCTGTGTCCACCTGATACCCTTTGATGACCTCTCCTTCCCTTCGCCTGTTGCCACCGCCAGACATGAGTTCCGTCTGGGGTGGTTTTGCTCCCGTCTGTCGTCACCGCCGGGCATTTGTCTCCGCCCGGGGTGAGCCAGTTCCGTGTGGAAGGTCACCACTGGGCTTCAGCTCCTGCCCCTGCGTGTTCTGGCCTCTGAACTGCCCCTGGCCTGTCCTCCAGACCCCCTCCGCCCTCCCTGCCTCGCTTTTGTTCTTGGGACATCTGGGAGCTGTCCCTTGGAGGGGGGGTACTGTCATGGTGTGGATTTTATTTTGGACTTTAGCTTTATTTTGATATCTGTTCTTTGTGCTTTGGTTTTAAGTTTGACTTTGACGTCCTGTTTCCCCTGTCTTGATTGTCTACCCCGCCCTAATGTGTTTCACCTGTGTCTCTGTCTATTATTACCCTGTGCTCCTCTCCGCTTGTTGCTGGTCCATTGTATTGTCAACTTCTGTTCTGTCCTGTTCCTGGTTCTGTGTTTTGGATTTTGAGTTATGTTTTCACCTGGACTTTTATTTTATTAAATCATTCTTTTGCATTCCTGCATTTGAGTCCTCCATCATCTCACCACGTGACACATCCAGACACAGACAGACATCTGTCTCAAGTACCAAAAAACATATGGATGACTCACCCCAATGACGTGGGCCAGACAAAGCACACTATAAAGGTACAGCTCACTACAGCAAGACCTGTTTTTCGTTCACAATACCCACTCACAGAAGACCAAGACACTGGTATCCAAGAAACAATTCATGGATTGCTGGAATCAGGAGTGATTTATGAAACAGTCTCAGACTACAACACGCCATTGTTCCCTGTGAAGAAGTCGGATCTACAGAACTGGAGAATGGTCCAAGACTTTCGACCTATCAATGTCATCACAGCTGGTGAGTCATTCCCAGTCCCAGATCCATATATTGCCTTGAACAACTTGTCACCAAACTACAACTTCTATACAGTGATAGACTTGGCAAATGCTTTTTTCACAATAAACATTGAACCCAACTCTCAACAGTATTTTGCCTTCACTCACAACAACAAGCAATATACATATTCCAGAATGCCCCAGGGATGGAAGCACTCGCCCGGCTACTTCAACCATTTTCTGAGACAAGACCTGGCCAATCTACAACTTCCTGAATCCTGCATTCTGATTCAGTATGTGGATGACTGCATGATAGCAGGGGCTACATCTAAAGATGTCTTGGAAGCAACGGTAATACTTCTCACACGTCTGTCCAGCAGAGGCTACAAGGTAAAGAGACAAAAGATACAAGTAGCCAGAAGATCTGTCTACTTCCTTGGGCGAGAAGTATCGAATGGAGCACAAGGAGTAACGGACAACAACAAAGATGCTATTTTGCAGACTCCAAAACCAATAACAGTACGTCAAATGCTCAGCTTTCTAGGACTCAACTATTCTCGAGAATATGTTCCAGGATACACCGAGCTCACAACTCCACTGAGGGAACTCATCAAACCACATGGGATGCACAATCCAACAGCCGAACTACTTTGGACCTCAAGTGCTGAAGAAGCATTCATCAAGACCAAACAGGCAATATGTGTTGCATGCTCATTATGTGCCCCTGAATACAGCATCCCTTTTCATCTGGATGTGACAGAAAAACAGTCCTTTGTTCAAGCTGTTCTTTATCAGAAACATCAAGGGACCAGAAGAGTGTTGAAACATTACTCCTGCAAACTAGATCCTCATGATCAGGCACAACCTGGATGTGCACGCTATCTTGCAGCTTTGACGAAGACAATTGAGAAAACTGCTCATATTGTACAGAACCATCCTCTGGTGGTACACACTCATCATGGAATACTGGCTTATCTTAACTCTCGTCTGTTCATTACCACAGCCCAAAGATCCAACAACATCTCGAAAACTCTGAGACAAGAACATATTACATATGAAGGAGGTACCATCAACATGGCATCCAACATGGAGACTGAAGGAACTCCACATATGTGTGAGGAGAAAGTCAAGACTGAAATATATGTGAGAGCAGATCTACAAACGACGCCACTGGATAATCCAGATATGACTCTATTTTGTGATGGCTGTTCTTACAGAGCAAAAGATGGACATGTCATATCATCGTACGCTGTGGTTCAACAGCTGTCCAATGGACAACATCAAGTACTGGAAGCTCAACAATTGACATATGGATCAGCCCAGGTTGCTGAATTGACAGCTATGCTAAAGGCTTTGCAGCTTTCTGAAGGCCGTGCAGTCAACATCTACACTGATTCAGTCTATGCTTACAAAACGGTGACACTGTCCATTGCAGGTTGGATAAGAAATGGTTTCAAACTCATGGCTGGATCTCCAATCAAACATGAGTCATTGATCAAACAACTTATCAACGCTGTCCAGCTGCCATTACAACTATCCATCATGAAGTGCAAAGCCCACACCAAAGGTGAAGACTCTGTGTCCCTAGGAAACCACGCAGCAGACCTGGCTGCTAAAGAAGCTGCCAATTACAATGAAAGGAACATGCTCATTCAAGCCAAAGAAACACCTGACAACTCATCTGACTCCAATGTTATCGATACTACCTATGTTAGAGAAATCCAAGAAGCTGCTGGAGCATATGAACATAGCGCATGGACAAGACGAGGTGCTGTTAAAGATGCTGAAGGAATCTGGAGGAATCATGAAGGAAAAATGTTGGCTCCTGTTCCGCTGCTTCAAATGCTCTTTGATGAATATCACACTCCAACACATCGCAGTTACAAGGCGCTTCTGAAACACATCGACTTGTGGTGGCATCCACATATGAAACCCATTCTACAATACTGGATTGATGAGTGTCATGTCTGCCAGACTATGAATCCAAAGAAGACATGTAAACCACCTCCAGGTACCTACACACTTCCGAATAAACCCTTTGAAAGAATTGTCATTGACTTTACAGACATGGGTCCTGATATGCGTGTCCGTGGCTATCGCTACCTACTGGTCTTAGTCTGTGAGTATACCAAATGGGTTGAAGCTTTTCCCTGTAAAACAGAGTCAGCCAAGGAAGTGATTCAACATCTCACTAACGACGTTTTTAGCCGTTTCGGAATTCCGTCTGTGATAAGAAGTGATAACGGAACTCACTTTACAGCCAAAGTGGTACGTGATGTGTTAAAAGCCCTTAATATTTCACAGCGCTTTGGAACCATTTATCATCCAGCCAGCCAAGGAGTCTGTGAACGGATGAATGCAACAGTCAAAAGGAAACTGGCTAAAATCTGGCATACCACCAAACTTGACTGGGTCACTGCTCTCCCTTTTGCTTTGATGGACATTAGAAACAGCACTAACCAAACCACATCATACTCTCCTCATCTTTTACTCACTGGTAGAGAGATGCACAAACCAGTAGGTCCATTCAATGAAGAAACACCATTTATTGACTGGGACAAACAGCACCATTCTTATGTTCAGATGCTACAGAAAATAGTCTCTCAACTACACCAATGTAGACAGAGAGTTCATGACTCACAAATCCATCCCGAGCCTGACACAGTAGTTACACCTGGCTCTTGGGTATTTGTTAAAGTACACAGACATAACAACTGGACTCAGCCCTACCAAACTGGACCATACTTAGTTGTTCAATCAACTGGAAGATCTGTGCAGGTCCAACGAGGACAGTCCAAGGTGTGGTACCATCTTTCACACTGCTTCAAATGCCCCGTGGACCCAACGGAGAGGACTCTGACGCAAGTTAAAGCAGACATTGCTGCAGCTGTTGGTCCAGATTCAACCCCTTACTCATCGGCTGATGGAGAAGATCTCTCTACGCAACCCAGCTCCGGGGCTCCGGAGGGGGAAAGAGAGGGAAATGGGGAAGTATAGGACATGCAGTTGCATCCCTTGCGACGTTCCAGAAATCTTATATTTCTTTGCAATCATTACTATTGTTTTTGTTTTAGTATGGTGGTACATTATATGTCCATCACCAAAAAATAATGTAAATATGCAACAAATTACTCCAATAACTAAAAATGAAAGTATTGTTAAATTATCTTATATCTTAGCAAGCAACCAAACAAACTACAAACCAGGAAGAAAGCTTTTAGTCTTCACTATCAATAGATTAGACAAAAACCCCTTGTTAACCAATGTTGACCCCTGCATAGCTAAACATGGAGGACTAGAATTAAACTACAAACCAGGAGAGGACTGGACATATGTTTTTGACTTTTGCTCTGTTTTTACTTGTAGTGACGACCACTCCCAGTGGAGGGGAGGGGATGTCTACATTTGTGGTGAAGACCAAATGCAAACACATTGTGCCCAGATGAGTAGACTCTGCCTATCAAAGAATCACTGGACCCATTCAGATCCTACACAATCTTCCAATTATCGTGGTCCTGCAAAAGCTGCAGATAAAATAACAGTAATAAAGAGCAAAAGCAAAAGTCATTATCCCATTCAGGGTCCAAGAAGAAATCTTTTAGCCTTCACCATCAATAGATTGGAAAAAAACCCCTTGTTAAATAATCTAAAACCCTTATACCTTACTTTTGGTACATCAGGACGTTACACAAGGAAAGTAGTTGTAAAAATAGCCTTTGATACCTCTGCAACACCTGATAAAACTTTACCTTGGATAAAGATAATTGATAATAACAACAAAAATCCTAAAGTACAACTTGCTATTGAAACGGGCTATGTCGAAAGTAATGTTTGGTTAGAAAATGTTAGGCAACAAGCTGAACAAGCAAACCAAACAGACTGCATAATATGTCAAACAGCTAGACCAAAATTAATGTTAACTCATACAACTTTTGAGACAAACAAAAATGGCACAACAACTAAAGGTATAGATATAGGATGTATGATAGAAGTAATGTCTAAAGATAACACGGGTCCTAACTGTAGAGGGTGGGAAAATATTTATCCAGTCACAAAAAAAGGAGTTTCACCACCTATGTTTAGCACTCAAGTTACCAATTTAAATGTTACATGCATCACAATTGAACACCCTAGCCACACATATGTAGATTTAAAAGAGTTTCATGATTTAGGACATCTTGAAGTATGTAAAAGCACCTATAGACTCAAAAGCAACAACATTGACATACCAGTTACAACTGCTAGAGCTGATGTGTGGTGGTATTGTGGAGGTTCTGCTCTATATGGAAGTTTACCACCAAAATGGACTGGCACATGTGCCCTTGTATCTTTAATGAGTGCTGCTTTAAGTTTTCCAGATGCAAAATTATGGGAATGGGATGACAAAGTCATCATTCGCCATAGAGCTAAAAGGTCCATCAACCCTTTAAATGACATGTCATCTGGACATTGGATTGACGCCATTGGACAAGTCAGAGGAATTCCAGATGAGTATAAATTAGTAGATGAAGTAGCAGCAGGTTTTGAATCATTTCCCATTTTCTCAGCATTTTTCCCTGTAACGGTTAACAAAAATGTAAACAGAATTAATCTTATCCATTATAATGTACAACGCCTAGCCAACTACACTCGAGATGGTTTCGAGGCTACTCATGAACAATTAAGTCAAACATCCCTAATGGCCTTACAGAATAGAATGGCATTAGATATGATACTAGCGGAGAAAGGGGGGGTGTGTTCTATGTTTGGAAGTCTTTGCTGTACGTCCATAGTTAATAATACTGCTCCTGATGGAAAATTGACTAGAACTCTTAATAAACTTAGAGCACTCTCCACTGAATTGAAAGACATGTCTGGTGTCAACAATCCCTTAATTGACTGGCTGGAGAAAACATTTGGAATATGGGGAAAATATTTTGCAATGGTAGGTACCTCAATTATAATATCAATCTGTATGTTGATAACTTGTGGCTGTTGTTGTATTCCTTGCATTAGGGGACTGATTCAAAGAACAATTGATCGTGCGTTTGCAGAGCCCCCTTCATATTATAAAGCCCTTCAGATGATGGTGCAGGAAGCAAGACAACATAGAGACTTATTCTCTGATGAACCTGAGTCAGAAGAAGAAGAAACCAGTCCAAATAACATTATCCTACGTGCCATCCAAGCATCTGATTTGGACCTTATTTACTAAAAAGATTAGATAACTTATTAGAACAAAACTATAACTGTAAAACACCTCACTTATTAATTTGTCTTTTGTGTTGCTTGTTCATCTAACAAAAAAATAATAAAAGTTAAGACTTTAAAAATAAAATAAAAAAACTTGTTTTAAAAATTATATTGTATTTTTCAACAGTCATATAATCTGATGATTACAAACTAATATAATCAACAGAGAGGTAGCGACTTGCGCCTCTACATTAAATATTGATTTGTGATCACATGTGGATGTGATCAAGAGAGGGACTGTGAATATTTAATTACTGTTTGCTTTTAAAGTATCATGTTAAACAGTTGAAAAGAGTTTAGAAGAAACACTTGTACTTTGGACTGCTTACAGAAGCATGGAGCAGATAAGGTGTTGATGTACATAACATGAGATAATGCTATCTCATGTACATTGGAGTTTGGTCCGTTACGCAACTTTGAAACCATACGCTTACTTCCCACATAGTCATGCTTTTAAAGTCTATGCTGACCTAAACATTTTCTGGTGTATATAAGGAGCTCCCCTGTGATTGTACGACAGACTTCTGCAGACAGACTTCTGACGGGAAGCTGCGTTATGCTTGTTCAGACTACGCTCAAACCTTCTGACAATAAAACTTTATTTTGAACTACCGCAGTTTTTGTCCGTTAAGACCGTTAAGTCTTTACTTTTGGTCTTACGTCTGGGATTTTTCACAAATGTTTTTAGTCTCGTCTGAAGACCCACATTCACTCTTTGGCTTTTAGTACCGCATGAGTTGTGGGGTTCTCTGTTTTATCTGTTTTTTATTGTTCTTTTTTAATTGATAACTGGTACTTTATTGTTTTTATTAAAACATTTTTTTTACTGTTCACTTCATAATTATTTTACCTATTCTATTTTTGATACCTATAATGCTGACAAACCTTTTTATTTAAATGTGTAACTTTTATCTCTGTGCAGCACTTTGGATACTTGTTTTATAAAATCTGCCATATGAATAAAGTGAATTGAATTGGATAAAATATTACAAATTTGAGAAAAAGAATCAGATTGTAACAATAAAATAGTAAATTACAAAAATGAATGATGATGATATCTTAATAAATGTATTT